GTTGGGTAGAGTCTGGGGGACGACCCCGTCAAGTACCACACTCCATGTTCTCCATGGCCCCTCTGCCCGAGCGCCTGTTTACTCCATGCAGGTCACCTTCCTGCCTGGCCAGCAGCCTGCACCTAGTGATCTGTTAGCCAGCGGCCCTGCCCTTCTGCTCGAGCCCTCTAGAGGCTTCCATGAATAATGTCTTTGCACCGTCACCCACCCTCCATTACCGAGGCAGCCCTTTTCCAGCACTTCACAGTGGCTTGCGCTGATTGGTCAGAAGCATGGCTTTATCTCATGAATTTGTCAGCGTGTTCCTATGGTTTATGTTTTCTGCATGGGAATGTGTAAGTCATCAAGCACATCTAGAAGAAGCTTGGTGACTGGCTGAAATAATGGTTCGAAAGGAATGCAGATGGTGTGTGTTCTAAGTGGGATCGTTCACCAGATTGAAAATAATTGTGTATGTCTCATTCTGGCTGCACAGATGCCTCACTAAGATGGAATAGTCCTCCCTTCTACTTCTGCTACTATCACAGGCCCAGGATGCCAAAACCATTTATTTCAATTCAGCAGCTCTTTATGGAGCTACAAAACACCATGTTACGGGTAAGCTGCTAACTCCTGTGCAGCCTACAAAGCCCATCCCAGAAGTCTCTGTCTTCTAGAAGCTGTCTCTGATTGCTGCCACCACCAGCTTCCCCTTGCCTGTAGTGTTAGTCCTTTCCTTTCCCTCTTCCATATGGCCTTTCTATTCTGTTTGGGCATCTGTTTTTTATATGTTGTTCTATAATGTTTTAAGTGTTGGCCCCTCCTACTATATTTGTACCAAATGTTTGAGCCCAGGGACTTGGTCTCCTTGTTTGTATTTATGGCTTTAATAGTCATTTCTAAAACAGTGAATGAATGCATGCTCCTCTACCTTTGAGCAGGTGTTTATTGAATGAGTGCTTACCATGAGGAGATAACTAGGCATCCATGTTAATCTGAGCCGCAGTCAGTGACAGCAGTGTCTTCCAGCTTTTGTGAGCACTCAGGAGTGGCTGTACCAGTGAGTGAGAGGTGGCTCAGACAGGGGCTTCATTTCAGTTATGCCCTCCAAGCAGGTGGTGAGGCCAGAGGTGGCTCCCATGGGTGCATTAGTTTATGGAATGCAGTCAGCTGAACTTCTACCTGGTCCCTAGCCACATGTCTTGGGGCACTGTCTTTAGCATCTCAGGAACTTGCTTGCCAGTCACTTCATTTTCATCTTACAGGAATAAAGGACAGATGGTACTGTCCCCATTTCATATGTGACGGCAGGCAGAGAAATCTTGAAGATATCTAGGGAGTCTCCCAGCTGGGGCCACAGTCAGAGCCCATCTCCTGAGCCCCCTCCCACCCTACCTCCCATCGTGCTTCCTGATGGCTCCTTCCTCTTCCCAGATGGTTCCCTAAGCTTTAAGATTGTCTTCCTGCTATTTTTTACTATTCTTGGTCCTGCTGGTCCCAAAACAGATCGAAAGGATGCCAAATAATCCCCAAAGTGTGTAGCAGCAGAGTGGCTGCAGTCCACATGCAGAATTTGGCTAAATGTGCCCATGAAAGAGGGGACCCGGGAGGGATGGCTGTCCTGGCACTCAAAGAAGGAACAGAGTAGGCACATCAGCCCTTTGTGGGGGGTATCCATGTAATCAGGTACAGCCTCTGCTGATGCCCCTAAGGCTGCCTCAAAAGCCTCCGAAGGAGGCAGCCCTTCCAGGGAGGGGTTCAAAGAGCATCTTGTGGAGCACCTGCCATTTGTCACCTTCTGTGGCTGCATTTTCCCACTGTGCTAGGCTACAGTTCATACAAGTTGAACTCAAGACCAGAGCGAGTAAAGACCCTCGGCACCATGGCGGTGGGACCTGGTCTCAGATCTTGTTATGACTGGAGATGCATTCCTTTGCCACATCACCTCCTTCTCAGACATAGAAGGGTCTTCTTTCTAACCTCAGTGTATACAGTCTAGTACAAGGCTAAGAATGAATAAGGAACAAGCCCAGCAGGCGCACATACACTCCCTCAGCTGTTTGCAGGGACATGTTAGGGAATGTGCCTATTTTCTTACAAGTCATAAAGGTAAGAACTGAGATTTCAGCCTTCCTGGGTATCTGTCACCCAGATGTGTGTCCAGGTGTGTCAGCAGCTGTCCGTTAACTAAAACAAATACCCAGAAAAATTAACTTTGGCCTAGGACAGTTGTATTTTGGCTTACAATTGTAAATATTCCAATCCATGATTGGTTAGGCTCATTGCTTGAGGCATATGGAAGCCCGTGTGATCGGGTGCATGGAAGCTAAGCATTTCTAAATGCATAGCTGAACCAAAACTCAACTCAAAGCCAGGAAGTAAAAGCGGCAGGAAGCTGCCCCAGGTTCTAGTATCCCTGCAGTAGTGCACGCCAGCGACCTCAAGATTTCCTGCAGTGGTGCATGCCAGCGACCTCAAGATTTCCTGCACTCCCAAAGCTCCACCCCACAGTAGTGCCACTTCCTGGGGAACAACCTTGTGACATACGGGCTTCTGAGAAGCACTCAGGATCCAAACTGTAGCCCCAGGTCTGGGCCAAAAGAAATTCAAAAAGCAAAGAGATTTTTGCGTGGCTTCTGATGCAGATGTGATCTGATACTAGATTTCCTGGTTGTTTGTCTGTCCTGTACTATTACACTGTAGGCTTTGGTGAATGGGAGATTTTAAAATCTCTTCATTGTAATATTGAAAAGCTGTAGAAGTTTTCAGTTTGCTCCTCTGGAATTAAAAACAGAGGTGCTACATTAGCCAGCCAGAAAAACAAGGGACACCTTACCTTTTCCAAATATCTATATATCCTGCAGCTCCAATTGTTTATTATTATTGGCTGATTCTTCCTACTTAATGACAGCCATCCTCATGGGATGGGCAGGGTTGCAAGACACAAGGCTCCCATACTGCACCCAAGACCCACACTGCTACCCACAGTTTAAAAGAGTAGATTGTTCACAAAATCATTAAGAATTAAGAAGTCTTCCTGCCCTAGTGCTGCATTGGTATCAGGACACTGTTTACCATCCCTGTGCCTCATTTTCAAAAGACTAAGTTGCATACTAATACCCTAAGTAATTGATGTATTTATGTTGTCTCAAGTTACAAATCTGATGAGAATACAGCTCCAGATTTCCTGCCCACTTGTGGGTGAAGCATTTGTTTGTTAATCTCCAAGCTCAGTCTCTAGGAGGCATGTGTCCTCAGCAGAGTGTGACAGGGCACAGCAGTGGCCTGCCTTGTTCCAGTCCTGATCACACTTTGCCAGCTCCAAGAGAAGTCAGCATCAGGTCATTACCTGCCTCTTGCCCTCTTCAGCAGCAAACAGTATCATTTCTTTTCAAGAAGCAAGGAAAAAGAGGCCAGGACCATTGAAAGCATCATTATCATCTCTGTTTTTTTTTTTTTTTCTGATGGGGAAACCGAGGCTCTGAGTATTACATATTTTCGCCCAGAGGTTCAGACGGCTAGTACAAGTGAGAGGCAGAATGAATCTCAAGCCCAGCTGCCTGAAGAACCTGGGAGTAGACTTTCTTTACTCCTTTTGTCTTTTGATTCCTTAAAAGTAACCCAAGCAAAGGTTTAAAAAGAAAAAGAAAAGGAGGCCCCTACTGGATGCAACTTGCTGGGGTGCCACACCCTCCCTGTTGTAAGGATTCCACCCTGGCAATGTGAGGCCCCTCCTGTGATGCCCCACATGACACAGGGTGGAGCACGGTACTTTTCCTCTGTGTGCCCTGAAGCTGGGAGCTCCAGGCCCTGAGATGACTAATTTCCTCGTGCACACAGGGGATGGGCAAGCTGAGGGAAAATAAAATATTTCAGAAGCACAGGCACTGCAAAGTCAACTTCCTGACCGTGTTCTACTTCTCAGCAGCAGACTGGCCGGCAGGGGTGTCCTCGGAGGAGCACCTGCATTTCCATGTCTTTGTGCCTCTTCTCAGTGTCTGTCACATGGAGGAGCACTCCAGGCTTCATTCCTTACCCTGCTGCTTTCCCTGCTCAGCGTGTCACAGAGACAATCACATGCGAGTGCTTGGAAGCCTGCCTCTTAGGCAGGTATTATTTGTCCTAAGACATATCTAGTTATAGACAACATTTAGATTGTACTGAGCCCTTTGCCTCTCCTCATGGGTGCTGCTTGCTACGCTCTCCTGCATCATCCTGGATATCTATGGAGTGGACAAGGTCTGCCATGGACCCAGGACCCCAACCACCCAGCACTCTCAAATGGATTTATTGGGTATTCACTCCAGGTCTCTGGCACAGAGAGTACCTCCAGCAGGTCAGGAGTCTGGGAATTGAGAGACATTCTGCCTTGGTGCCATTGACCGTGTACTAGGAGAGCAGGCATGGTGCCAGGGTGGTGAATTGCCCTCTAGATCCTGGAGTTCTGGCCCCACGCAGTCTGACCTTGTTGATAGGGCTGCCACATTCTGTTTTCATCCAGTAGGCACTGTGTCCCTGCCGAGCATAAGGATGGCACCATGTCAGGAGACATCAGAAATGCCTGCAAACACCTTGGTTTGATCTTTCACATCACAGTGTCTGCATCCTGCCACTGAGGTAAAACTGGCACTCACAAAACAGTATTATTAGGTGGCCAAATTAGCTTCTCAAAGGTTTCTGGAATCCAAGGAGAAAACAGAGCAGCAGGTAGTGCCAGACCTGAAGGTGGGCCTCCAAGGGCCAGCTTAAGCAGCCCCACTGCAGGCTTGTGGTCTTCCTGTCATCTTCAAATCCCACTGGGAGACACTGCTGTCATCTCCCCATCTGTGGTTTAGGAAGCTGGTGGCTGGAAAGGCCAAGACAGGGCCCAAGGGCATGCCCAACCTGAATCTGCCTGGCTCCCAGCAATCCCCTCCATCATTCTCCAGAGTGGAGCCTCCCATCAGCAGATTCCTTTGGCAGGCCTAGAGAGCACCAGTTGTCTCTTTGGTCCCTAGGCTGACACCTTCTTTTCATTTCAGGACTTCTGCCATGGGCAAGTGATGTGGCCTCCACTGAGTGCCCTGCAGGTGAAGCTTGCATCTCCCGGGCAGTCCTGCAAGCAAGTGTGCCAGGAGAGCCAGCTCATCTGCGAACCATCCTTCTTCCAGCACCTCAACAAGGCCAAGGACCTGCTGAAGTAAGTGGCAGGGGACAGAGGCAGCTCAGCCTCTATGTACTGCACTGCTGGGCAGAGCTGGCTGGAAAGGCATTACATCTTTGGCTGTAGGCTGTGAGGGGAAGATGTGGGAGGGGTAGCTGACTGTGGCACATTCAGGAAAATGAAGTCACCTGGTGTGCAGATGTACTTAGAATTTGAATGGTGTATTTGCACAAATAATACTACATCTGGGCTGGGAGCTGGTGGGAGGTGTTCGTTTTGCTCATGTGGCACCCAAGAACAGCAGTGGAAGAGGGCACAGAGCCAGGGGCACCAACAGACCTGTCCCAAAGACCCTTGGCAATGACTGGGTCCTCAGATGGTGCCCAGCAAAGCCCATGCGGCACAGAGCACAGCTTTCAGTCTCAACCTTGGAATCTAAAAGGACTAAGAAATAGGGAGAAGGAGCTGGCACAGAGCTGCCCCAGCAAGGTCCAAGCACTGCCTCCCTTACTTGCAGCCCCGCTGACTCTTGCACTGTCTTCAGGCATCTTTGGGATTCACTCATCAGGGGTCTGAACAAGCCTGGCTCTCCAGCCCTCAGCAGTGAGGCACAAGCTGCAGAGTGCTGCCTGGTGCTGCATCTGGGGGAGGGCCTCTGGTGCCCCTTGAATTGGTGCTTTTTAAATCTTTTCTTTTGTACTTGGAGTGCTTGTAGTAACCCTGTTCATTTCCCTTTCCATTAGCATTTTGAATTTGGCATCTGAAATTCCCAAATTTCCCTGCAAGGTTTCTTCTGGGTTTAGATCCCTGGTCCCTATCAATGCGAATTTCTCCCATTTTTCATCATCCTCATCTTGGTTATCCAGTGTTAATGAATTATCTAGCCTCCCCTGCTACCTTAATAACAGTGATAGGGGGTTTTCTCTAAAAAACCTGCTTTTGAGTAACAAGACACTTGTGCCTCAACTATAAATATTCAGTCCAAGGCTGGAAGAGGATGTTTAAGAAATGCAGTGGACCTGAGGTTCCGAGCTTGCCTGTCCCCTCTGATGGCTTCAAAGCTTCACAGCTGTCCACTGTGGTCACTATGCGTGGTCTGAGCTGGATTGGTCCCTCCTGTGAGGCGTCATATTCTCCAAGATGTCATAAAACTCTGTTTAGAGAAGGCAGCCCCTGGCACAAGTGGTGCTCTGGGCAGGATGCTGTTTATTCCAGTTCTATGGGAAGACTTGGAATCTGCCTTGACTCCATGGACCATCCACACAAAAGACAAAAAGACATGGCCAAAGACAGGAAGGCTGGGGTGTGCTCTGTGAGAGGCTGCTGTCTGACATGGATACAAAGCTGTTGGAGACACCAGAAATTTCTGGCTCCACATTGTAGACCTGAATTGTAGGGTCTCGTTGGGACTTTGCATTGGCTCCTCTTAGAGAATACTCCTGGAAAGTGGTAGCTTTTAGAGAATCCCAAGCACTCTGTGTTGGATGATTTAAATCACTGGGTCCATACTCAGCACTATCCTCATAGTTCTGTGTGCAGCCTCCTGGAAATGGAACCTACCCAGGACTCCTGAACAGTGTGGCTTCCTTCTTGTTTAGGCTTGGTGCTGCCATAGGGTCTTCCTCAAAGCTGGCATGCAGTCCACACCAGCAGCCCTGCACAGGCAGCCCACCTCCAGGGCAAGGATCAACAGGGACAGGAAGGACACCCAACAGCTGGGCAGGTGGCCAGTTCCATCAGTTTTCTCAGTGGAGATGAGAACACCCTGGTGATATATAGCCCTTACTGAAGATCAAAATGGCCCCTTTCAGGCAGCAGAACAGGCTCAAGACCACCAGACCAATATTAGAAAAGCCAGTCCCCTGGCCAGGCATCTCCTCCACAGAGCAGAGGGCCTGCGCTGTGGGCTGTGTTGTGGTATCACTTACCCCTGCCCTATCCCACTGGAGAGATACAAGTTTTGTTACAAGCAGGCTGGAAGGAATGGTAATTTTGCAATAAAGCCTTCTGAAATTAATTCTGTTAATATAAGAGCCCTGCTGAATAACTTGCTTATGCATTTGTAAGTACGGAAAATGTTGTAAAACCCCAGCTATCCGGCAGTCTATTGAGTGCTGCCTCAATGTGGAGGTAATCCTAACACATCCATATTCATGGCCAACTAGCAATTAGCGGCCCTAACAAGCTAGGGCTGCTTGTTCTTCTCCAATTTAGGACCTGGTTCTCCTGAGCACCCTTCAGTTCTTGGGTGTCTGTGACCTTTACATACCACCTGTCTTAACTGTGTAGCATGAATTTAGTATGGCACATAAATCAAGCCATTGAATCAGGAGACTCAGCAGGTGGCCTTCAAGCTCCTGTGCATGCATCGGACAGTTAAGTGCTGGAAAGACCACCACAAAGCATGCATGACTCTGCCAAGATTGCATCTAGAATAGGGCTAAGAGGACACCGCAGAAAATCCCAGACGGTGCCAGCGTCCACTACTGCATGGCCCAGTATGGAGGACTCAGCTCCATAAGATGCAACACATGTTCATGTGAAGCCTCCTTCATAGCAGCTACCTCTCAAGATTATGTCTTATAAAATTTTAAATTATAGGTGGTCCCCAAATTATAGTGATAAAACTTACGCTTTTTACAGTGTTGGTGTGAAAGCCATCACCATTCTGTAGAACCTGAAATTCAGATTTTGTGCTTGGCTCTTGTCCCAGGCTATGAATAGGTGGTGTGATATCATCTCATGCAGGGCACTGGCAATGAGCAGCAGCTTCCTATCAGCCACACAGGCACCAGGGGGCAACAACTGATACTGCCATGTGCCACACGTCTAAGCTGGGATGGTCAGGTGCATTTTCCACTTACGGTGTTTCCAGTTTAGGATAGGTTTATGAGGACATAACCCTAGGGGGAAGGACAGCTATACTGGCCACTGGGAGTGCTCTTTGAGATGGGACTTAAGCATGAAGTGTAGATGACAAATGCTTTGGCTTCCGTGAAGGCAAAGAGCCCTGAGTCATAGTGGTCATGGGGTGTGGGTATGTCTTGGAGGGAAGGAAATTACTCCAGGCAGGGGCAGCAGTTCCTGCTTCTATCCCTGCTTCTCGGAGGGTCTTAGTCCTGTACTGTGTGTCATGTATCAGGGGGAGTTAATAGTAGCATCTCTGGTCTACCCTGGTGTGCTAGGTTTCTCATCCTACACAAGTGACCAGGAAAAGTGGGAAGTCCCATGGGAAAGGGCCTTTGGCCTCATATTCTACAAGAGCTATAAGTGGTGAGCTGAGGGCTCATGGGCTCCCAAAGCGCCCATTCCTTGTAAGAAAAGCTGCCAAGGCTAGCTGTGGAGAAGGCAGCTCTGCGGATGAGCAAGGGAAGATTCACACTGGGTGTGGAGTCACCAAGCAGAGGGAGGTGTGAGACGGGGCAGAGGTGTACACACAGCCCACCATGCACCCTGAAAAGGCAAGAGATCTCACAGGTACTGAGGACCCGAGCTGTGGAGCCTGCTCAGTCGCAGGATGCTTCAGCACTCAGAGTCTCTCAGGTGACTTTTGCTTCTAAGTTAGAGGAAGATGATGGAGGAGCATTCCTGGCTGCTCAAGGCTCTGGGACAGGCACTTGCTTTCCAGTATGAGGAGGAAAGCTCTGTGGGAACCTGGAAGATGCCCAGGGGAGTGGGTGGCATTAGAAAGCAGCTATAGACTTGTACGTTTTCACAGCTTCACATCAAGGGACCTTGATCACATCAAGGGAACTGCCTCATGACAGTTTCCCCGGTGTGGCCCAGGAAGGATTTGCATTGGGAGCCCCATGCTGGTAGGCTCCTGCTGTTACAGCCTTATTTGGGACACACTCCCAGCTGTGAGATTACTGCATGCACTCCTGCACCAGACACTGTGTGCTGGAGCCTCAGGCCAAGTGACCTGGGGAGGGGACAGGGGGCCTTTCCATGGTTCCTAACAGTTCCATCCCTCTCCATGGGGTGTGATAAGATGCCCCCAGAATCCCAGTTAACAGTGTCAGACCAGGGCCTGATGGTCAGAGTAAGGCATGGCAGCTCCTCTAAGTCATCCACATACATAAACAGCATAAGCATTGATCTGTGTCCCAGAGGCCACGATCCACATGTAAAATTTTCATGCTGGATTGAGCTCCAGACCCCTGTTTCCCTAGAAAATCCATAAAACTCCTGCATCCCTTCATGGCCTGTGACTTTAACCCCCCAGGGTACCACCATCTCCCAGCTGGCACAAGACAGGGGTGGGGAGTATTTAGGGAAGAGGTAGAGCTCCCCTGGCAACCACAGGCACAAGAGGGATACTGCCCTCCTGCGCAGGCCACACTGCCAGATCCAACAGGCACAGCCCCCATAGCTGCTGAGTCCCACAGGTGCCACAGATGGACCACAGATGATTGGATTGCTCCTGACAAGAGTGGGCAGGCCAGGCAGCTGGGTGGCTGGAGGAATGCAATAGCTGCAGGAGTAACAGAGAATGGTGCTTCTCCTTCCTGCAACCCCACACTATCCAGAGGTGGTGAAAAACCTTAAATGCCTGTTGTCATTTCTTCCCACACAGCAGGAAGTGGAACTTTCATGAACAGAGTAGATTGGACAGTTTGATGTGCATGTATATTTAGTGTCTGCAAGGGAGGAAGGTGGTGTAGCTGCCCCCACCCCACACCTGCCAGGTACTAGACAATGTCGGTGATCACAGTGATAATGACAGTTATCACTTACATACATATCACTGACTCACAACTAGACTGTGAGTGCCCCCAGAAGCCTCATTCAATGCCTGTGCATAGGGATTATTTATCCCCATGTTATAGCAGAGGAAACCAGGCCATGAGATGCTCAGTCATGAGTCCAGGGTCACAGAGCTCCTAAGAGAGAAAACTAGGATGCACCCACAGGTCTTCCCCATCTCCCTACGTCCCATTCTCAGATTGGAGGGAAACCCTGATTCCTACCTAGCCTGTCCTCATCTTCCGCTGGATGAGGTCTCCTTGTTCTGGGGGTGCCAGTGTAGCCAAACAAGATGGAAATTCTATGGTTCTTCGAAGTGAGATGCTGAGGAACACATCATCTGGAGCATCCTCCACACCAAGCACTGATCCCATACTGAGGGACAAAGCCATTTGGTTCCAGCCCCCAGCCTGTTGTGCTGCTGCAGAAAATGACAGAGGGACAGGAGCCCTGGGAGACACAGGGCCCAGGTCTCCTGCTCTGCACCTTCTGAAGCCACCTATACTGTCATTCATGGCTGAAAGGTCATGCGAATCATGGCAAAGGTCTGGTGAATCAAGGCCCTGGGACAGCATTTGATTGCTTTCCAGTGAGAGACAAAGAGCAAATAACAGAAATCTTTCAAGCCTTTAATTAAAAAGTTAAACATACTTGTAAGATAGCAAAACAGGCATGGCTCAGCTTCAGTGTTGCTCCTCACTAACACCTACTGCGACACTTCAGTGTGCAACCATCGTTTTACACACACACACACACACACACACACACACACACACACACAGAGGCTGGTCACATGGTATAATCTTGTTCTGAGAGTTCCTGTTCTCTGAGACAGTTGTCATGCTGGGCATACATTTCTTTCTCATTCTTGAGAAAGACTGCACAGAACTCCAAAACCACGTTCATTCTCCCCCTGGTGACTATGCAAGTTGTGTCCATTTTACTGCCATTTTGGACAGTACTCCCCACGGCCTGACATACACCATGCACAACTGAATGGGCACACACATGCCTTTCTAGAGCCAACAATGCTAGAAGTGAAGAATTGAGGGTGACAACATTGCCATCTCATTTCTGAAGCAGGAATCCTGAATTTGCTCTGCCCCCAGCAGGTGGACCAGCAAGGCCAATGTTAGTGACAAGTTCTGTCTCCTGGTTCTCTAACCAGTGTGCTTTGCTCTTCCTCTTCAGGTACGAGGTGATCTGCCAAAGCTCGGAGCGAGCCAAGGACATCCTCGTGCCCTCCATTGAACCCAAGAGCAAGCACTGTGTGTTCCAAGGTGACCTCCTGCTCTTCAGCTGCGCAGGCGCCCACCCCATGCACCAGAGGATCTGCCCCTGCCGGGACTACATCAAGGGCCAGGTGGCCCTCTGTAAAGACTGCCTATAGCAGCCCAGCTTGGCCCTGCTCACACTGTGCTGTGGCAGACAGCAGCTCTGTCAGGCAGGGCCAGGGGGCAGCATCATTCAGGGACTCTGGCCAGAGCCCAGATTTTTTGGTTGAAAGTTCTGTTTGGTACTTCTGCTTTGGGCAGTGCGTCCCAGGGGAGTTGTCACCAAATCAAAATGAGAGCAGATGTCGGGCCAGAAGCCTGGCTTCTCCCTGGTACAAAAAGCATCATTTCTACTTTGCGTGGAGCAACTGCAGAGAGACTGTCAATGCAGCTGCTCCAGGGTAAAGAAGAGAGAGAGAAGGAAACATCTAAAATGCATTTAAAGCAAAACAACAAGAGCAGGAATTGAGCTAAAAGGAGAGAACTTTGGGAACATTCCTAAACCCATTAACTTATTTATTTGGGAGGGAGGGAGGGTTTGGGAGGGAGGAAAGGGATCAATCACACGCTTCTTCCTCTACTTCCCACTGTTAATCATTCACTCTCACACTAGTCCATCTGCTTCAGGTGGGCTGCAGTAGGGCTAATGGCTTTCTGGAGGATCTGGCTTCTGATGGTAGCAGAGCAAAAGAAAATCTTGCTTTGAAAACACAGCCAAACTGTCCTGAGAATTGTCACAGAGCCAATGGGCCCTTTGTGTGCTTGGTGTGTGGCAGCTAGAAGATAAGTTATGCCTTGGAGGGTGCGTGAGTACCTCTGAGGGCCTGAGAGCCCAGCCAGGGATGAAAAATGGGGCTGTTTTCCATTCAAGAGAGACCCCTTTCCCTGTGTGCCCCCTCCCACCACTCCTCCCAACTTATCCTAAATTTCTGGTTGAAAGTCTTTTAGAAAGGAAATGCAAGGTTGTAGAATTTCTGTTAGCTGGTAGTTAATGTTCCCTCCCTCACATGCCACTGTGAGGAGGAGAATGGAGATGTGAGACTCCCCTGCCTCTGGGCTTGGAGGGCTGATTCTGTGTTTCCTCAAAGAGCTGAGATGTGGACAAAAGTAAATCAGTCTGAAGCATTAGTAGCCCAACCAAAGCTGGGTTTTTGCAAGGCTATCCAATATCACCGCAGTCCATGCAGCGGGGGTCTTGGTGAATACATCCACAGTGCCAGCAGGCGCAACCCCTGGTGAATGCTGGGTGGTCCTGGACTCTCCCAAGAGTGTAACACTGGCTTTCATTCTGAGGGGAATGAGCAGACCTGTGGGACTCAGACCTCTACGTCTTCTAGCCCCACACTCTGCCTCTGTGTAAGCTTTCATCTCCATGAAACCATTGCTTCTGCACTCTGCAAGTTGGTAAGCTTCCCGTGAAGGCCCAAGGCTGCTCTGCCCAGACAGAGAGCCTCCTTCCTTCGGGCTGGAGCGTAAGCCCTGGCTGGCGGAGGGTGGGGACATGGCTACTCAGCACTCACACCACAGCTGCAGACTGGGGTCCCCAGCTGTAGTCAGGGCAGCCAGGCAGAGCCTCTGCTGGCAGGAGAGCTAGGCAAAGCTGATGATTGGGTGGGCCTGCTTGAGGAGCAAGGGAAGAAAAGAATTCTGTTTTGTGGGGTCCATTCAGAACATGAAGACTTTTAAGGCTAGGAAGTTCTGCCTGCCTGCTTCTTGGTTTCTACCTGGTGCATAAATACAGTAATAGCAAGTGTCCAGCCGTGTGAGTGTCCTATGCCGCACCTCCCCACCATGGTCCCTCTCAGAGTTTTGAGCGTGCAGGGACTGGGGAGGCAAAACCAGGGTCTCTGCCACTCTGGCAGCTTCTGAGCACATCTGACAAAGGAGACCTCTTCCCTGAGCACTGATGAGGCAGGGGGGCTCTCAAGACCTGACTAGGAATACCTACTACCCGGACCTAGCCAAGGCGGAAGTCCAGAGGAAGTGTATGTTCATTTCTTAAAACTGTAGGTGCAGTTGCCTACTGTAGGAGGGGAGAGAACTGGCAGCCTCACTGCAAGGAAGGGCTTTTCTCCTGTGAGTGGGCCTCGTGGCTGCACCATAGTGGGTAACCTTTGAGTTTCCAGACCTTCTATTCCTGGGCCAGCTCCGCCCCCTGCTGGTCTCCTTCCCTAACTCCACAAGCTGCCAGTGCAGAAATTTGACCAGTAGGGGGAGGATTCCCCAGGCACTGCCTGTTAGTTAACACGTTGTTTAAACAAGCACGAATTTAGAATGTAAGAAACTTGGGGTATTGTTATCCCTGCCTGCGGAAGCTGCATGGATCCTTTGCTAGTTGTTGCAGAGTTCAGGGCCTCTGCACCTTCCTGTTCTCCAAGTCAAGACCCCAAGGTCAGGCAGCTCAGAAGAGCACTTTCTCCTCTTTAAAAATTCCTCTTCCTTTCCCCAGTCCAGCCTTAGCTGTCAGTCAACAGAAGATCTACTGGCAAGGCCACACCAGCCTATGCTTCTCTTGTATTATCAGTGCAAGTGGTGGATGGGCACCAGCTTCCAGGCTCCCTGGGCTCTGGCCAGGTTTGGTCAGGGATCCTCCAGTGGGGACTGGGTAGGGGGTTTCACCTCCACAGAGCAGAAAAAAAGGAAGTTGACTCGTGAGTGTGGGGTGGAAGCTCGCAGCCATTTTGCTATTGCTGATTTTTTATAGAAACCTAAGTTAATTTGTAATTGATTCCACAGGAAGAGAAATCTAAACTAGGATCACTGTTTTCCTATGCTAGAATCATAGCCTACCTTGTCCTTTCGATTATTTCCCATTGTGATCTTAAAACTTGAGGGAAAATTTTTTTTATCTAATTTATTAAGAAACAGAAAATTTTCCTTTCTAAGATGAATACTTTGTGGAGTAAAAACTCCTGAAAGGGCACACACTTCTTTGAATGCCAGTAAACACCTCACTTATTTCGTGTATTCAGTTTGATTTGCACATGTACAAATGGAGAGCTCTTTGCATTTTTGCTTTTTGTTTTTGTCACTGCTTATCACAGTTCGCTTTCAGTGTTGGCTGTGTATTTGGAAATAGGCCAGTCTGTTTCTTTGGTGATATTTGTTTTCCTGATGTGCCTTTTTCACTTTTCTTTGGGGTTGGTTTTTGAAAGCCAGGTGCTATTGCAGGATGATGGGCTGCTCCTGCTGGGACAGGTACTTGGGTGAGTGCAGATGTTCAGGCCGACCCCAAGGCCATAGCACTCCTGCAGGAGGACTCAGAGCTATGCGGATGCCAAGAAAAGAGCTGGCTTCCTCCCAGTGGGCTGTTCTCTTGGGGTTGCTGTTGCCACGCTGCAAGTCTGAGCTCCCTGCCACCCCCAGTTGCTGAAGCCAAAGCAAGAGGTCAGCCCTACAGGGGGCTGTGCTGAAATTTCCAGAGGAATGGCCAGGAATACACGTGGTTACCACCACAACGGGGAAAGGATCTGGAACCTCTTTGTGAGTTTCCTGGATAAGTGCAGGGTTTAGTAAATGTAACTGGCTTCCCCTTGGGAGTGGAGCCACACTACCACTCACTGCTGAGTAAAGATGTTGGTGTGCAGGGTTGGACTGAAATTAGGGTGTATAAATGTGTGCGCTTTTCAGACCAAGGTGGATTACCTAGATTATGTATATAACTAGACATTGCTTCCCTCTGCCCAGCCCACAAATTCTTGATTTTCTTTTAAAGTCTATTTTATTAACGACAGGCTTTGTTGTGTTATAGCCCAAGCCTGGATTGTTTTATTTATTTGAAAATATTTTTAATTTCGATATTGGCTTTATTCTAATCCCATCTATTCCTGTAAGGGCACAAAGCATCGTCATGTGACTAGATGGATGGATTTAAGTAGGTTCATACTCATTTAGGAAGCTGGCAATTTCATAAAGCTGAGCATAAGTTCCTTTTGTTGGCTTCAACAAGTGGAACACCAAGTTTTCGTGTATAGCAAAGGATCAAGTTAGTTGTAAAGTCATAGGTACTGAAAAAAAAATTACCCTTGCTTTCCTAGCACTTAGGGTTTTGTGAGGAATCAGTGTTTAGTGCAGTGCCTGGCACATAGTAAGCCCTAGTAAATGTTAAATACTGTTATTAGCATTTCATGAAACCTGAGAAATACAGAGCTGAGCTCATTCCCTATTACTTGGAAGTAATACCTACATGGAAATATTACCAAGTTGATGAATGTTGTAGGCATTACTAGTTTAGAGTGTTCATTGCTTCATCTAGCCTGCTGGTTGAAATTTTATTGTATTCCTGAATGCACTGAGTTATTTGAAAAATATATCAGACTTCAGCCCCCGATGAAACAAGGCTGCAAGCACTTACTAATGAGATGAAAAGGATAAAGCTGATATTTGGCCACTTACTGGATCTCACTCCACAGATATCTTCTGGAACATTCCAGGGCATTGCTTTGATGAACTTTTTGAGCTTGAAATTAAAAATCCTTTGACACACTGCACCCCCAAAATTGTTATTCTTTTGCTGTGCAATCACAGAGGCTTTTCTGTGTTCCTTAAATGACCAATTTCATTTAAACATTCCCCTAGGAAATGCCTTTGCTGCCCCCTGCTGGTCAGGGGTGGGCTTTTACAGGCTGGTTACTGCTGCTGATTCTTATCAAAGGTTAATTCCAGAAAAACTCTGAGAGGCTGAAGCAATTTAGCAAGATCCTGTCAAAATAAAATGGTCTAGGGTGGTAGCTCAGCACAAAGGCCTGAGCACAATCCCTAGTACCAAAAAAGTTAATTCCATATCCTGGTCCCAAAGAAAATCCACCTCCACAGGGCAGCCAGCTGAGGTCCTGAGCAGGAATTTGGATGTCCTTCAGAACAGCTCCCAGAGGATGCTTGTAGCTCAGTGATGCTTTTCTGAATCACTTAAACATAACTTTGCTGCCTGTTGTCGGGTATTTAGCCTCTTGTACTTCCCCAGTGGATTTAAAGTTTTATCTCCTGCCCCATGTTGTCACAACCCTTGCACTTGTGGAATATGGGGAATGTTTTTTGGATTTCAGTGTTTTTTGCAGATTCCTTTGGTTTCTCTTCACCTAATCAGCAGGCTTAGAATCCTATGGATGTAGTGATTGGAATTCACCTTCAGAGCCTCACTCTCTAGATTTTGTGCTGCCTCGAGGCTGCCCTTCCCCACTGCACAGTGTGAAGTCTGTGCATATCTGGTGATCAGGGACAATGTCTATGAAGCAGACTGGGCGGCAGGCACACAGAGCATTGGGGAGACCCGGGGTAGCAGTTCAGGATCTTGGGATGGCCTGTCACATCCCCCAGTGCAGAGATGGAGCACATGTGGAGCATTCTGCTCACTGACTGCAAGTATTGAGATGATAGGGTAACAGTTGATGCCAAAGGAGATGGTTATGTCCCTTCTACTGGAATTGCTGTTAGAATCTTGACATTGTTGATAGCCGTTTGTGTCTGTGTCTTCAAAACAAATCCTGGTCCAGCCATTTTCTACTGTGTAATTCTGGGGTTAAATCCTACGGGATTCTGCAAATAAGGTGTTGCTGTCCAAATGTACTGTACTGGCATAGAGAGCACTGCTTTGTTTTCCACTGTTGTAGAGAAATCTAGGGAGAACTTTATTTTTCAATAAACTTTTTTCTTGTGTGACAAGTGGAAGTGATTTTTGGGGGGCTGGCTGAGTACAGGATCACCAACAGAACAAAGCTGCGCTGTTGTCTGGCTGTATCTCGGATGGTGATGAGGAGGCAGGGAAAAGGAAAGGTTTAATGCCAAGCATGTTATCCTTTACAGATGAGCACCAGGGCCCCATTCAGAGCACTCCCTGCCCTTTGTTCAGTTAGTCAGGAGCTGAAGTAAAGCGAGATGCTAGGCTTTTTTTTTTTTTTTTTTTAAGATACTGTCTACACCAGATATTTAAACATCTTTGAGAATAGGCTACTATCATGGCCCTAAGAAGGCTGAACACCAGAACCCATGAGATGTGGAACATCTCTCTCCTTGAAGAAAAAAAAACATTTACAAGAAGGCCACACTGCAGCCCATACCAAGGTGCTAGTCTGCAGTCTGCAGCTGCTGTGGCTTGACCCTCAGCCCCAGAGGACTTTCTAGGGACTGCCTACCATGGATGTGCTGTGCAGTTCACATGACGTGTTTAATCAGACAAAAGTCATTGGTGTCAGAGAAATGCTGAGTGCCTCTGAGGAAAGGTATGTCCTGGTTGTGCCCGCACTCCTGCACGTTTATTAAATACAGTGAGAAACCCTGCAGAAAACTGAACATTTGGCCACCTTTGCTTGCATAACCTGTTACTATCTCATGGAAGGCTCAATGGAGTAGCCACACTGAAAAGCAGCCTTGACTTTGAATAACAGTGTACATTGTCCTCACTGAACTGCCTGAGACAAGTTTAGGTTGTACAGTATTTGCATATCCATGAGATATCTGGACGGTGGGCTCTGAGCTGAAGTGGGAAATTGATTTATGTTACAGTGTACTTATACATACAGTCTAATATACCTTACACAGTGTCTGTGTTTCAGCATACGTTTCACTATACCCAGCATCTATAGTTGCACCTGTGTTTTGACTGATCTGTCACATGACATCAGATGTGAGATTTTTCCATATGGGGCATCACAGTGGTTCCCAAAATGCATTTTTGGATCTTAGGGATGCTCAAACTATATCTTCTGTTAACCAGTCGCAGGAGGGGTGGCAGGGACAAAAGGTGTGGCCACCTCCCTGCTCTAGGCAAGGTTGGCCTCTCACGGCCTCCAGCTCCCCCTAATACATGTGTCAGAGGGAACTACAGAGACCATGAAGCCCATTTCCACAATCCAGCCTTTTGGCTTTCACCCCCAGCTGTAGGCACAAGCACCCCCTTCCAAGTCATCCTTCAGCTGTGATGAACACCTGCCCATGTAAAGACATCAGGCCTGGTTGTTGCTGCCACAGTGTGACGTCTCTCAAAAGATGACTTCCCTATACCATACAAAACAGGTAAAGGTCTTTATTGTCCAGACACTGCTGCCTGGGCAGGCAGTACTGTGAGAGGTACAGAATGTCGCAGGGCAGGGGAACATGTGTATGGAATCTACACCTAACGTGACATCAACTGAGAATGTCTCATTCATTACAGAGAAGTAAACCATCTCACAGACTGTAATGTACCATTACCACTTAACATAGCATATAGATATATGCATATATGGATTATATCATTATTTATTACAAATAAACTAGTTTCACATCTCTCAAAAATGGATCCTGTTTTCACACAGATGTGCAGGTTCTGGAGTACGAGAAAGGGTTATGTGCTTATTTAGCTCATCCATGCAAAGCTCATAGGTGTAACACTAAGTACTTTAAAAAATAGAATGGTCTCCTTTTGATCAAATCTGTTTAGGTTTAGGATTAGTAAAACGGTATGAAACTAATGAAATACATTGATAGAAATCAGGAAGGAAACACTGATGGTTTGGAGTTTGTAAGGGAACGAGGGACAAAAGGGCATGGTCTTCCCTTAAAATCTGCCCGGAGAGACTTGGAGACTAGGTGGTGGCCGGGGCCACTACAGAGAGGTGGACTGGTCAGTTACTATCTGTTTCAGACTAAGAGCACCACGGATGGGCTCGTATCCAATCCACAAGAACTATTATACTCCAGAATATAGAAAATGTCCCTTCCAGCTCCAGATGGGGAAGCAGGTCCCCTCTTCTAGGCATTGCTGTAATGTACGTGAGGGGCAGCAGTGTGAGGGTGTGGGGCAGATCCACCCCTGGGCAGACCTCGGCCCGTGATGACAAACTGGATGAAAGAAAACTTCCAAAAAAGAAACGATGTTGAATTAAACATTGGCACCGGCTGCCTACATGGAAACCTCTGGTCACCTTGACAGTCTTCATGCAGATGGGGACCATGCTGGCCCCTCAGCCACCTTCATTCAAACATCTCGTAGTGACGCGTCTGCCTTACCCTTGGCACCATGTCGATGAGCAGCCTGCAGAGAAGAGAAAGAGAGACAGAGATGGGCACCTCTATACTAGCCCCTCTGCAGCTCTGGGGCTCTAAGCATAGAGGAAACTTTACATTTCTTCATTCACAGGCTCAAAACCCTCTTTGAAATATACAGTTCAGTGGTTTGTATTACAGTCGGGTTTCTGTGTAATGATCCCCACTACTGTAATCCCAGAACATTTTCATCAACCCATAAAGAAACCCCATGCCCACTGGCAGGGCATCTCTGTTCTCTCCTCCACACCTCTATCCGAGCAACCAAGAATCTAGCTTTCGTCTGCAAGGAGTCACCTATACTGGATATTCCATACTAAAGGAATATTATACTGTGTGAGCACTTTTATCTATTTTATTCCACCTGGCATAATGTTTGAGGTTCATCCACACTGTGGTGTGGGTACATCAGTACTTAGTCCCTTTTGATGGCTGAGTAAGTCCACTTTATATGTCTACGTTTATCCACTCATCAGCCAAGAGATGGTTTCTGCTTTCCCTGCCATGCACACTGATGCACAAGTTTGGGCATGGATGTGTTGCTCTGGACTACATGCCATGAAGCAGAACTATCAAACACTATCTCTGTATTTCACATTTTAAGGATCTGCCAAATTCATTTTCGAAGTAGAATCAGATGTTCATTCCCACCAGCATTGCAGTGGGTCCCAATGGCTCCACATCCTCACCAACTTGTAACTGCCCCTGGTTTTGAGTAGAGCCATAGTAGTGGAAGATAGGAAACATTTTAACATAAAGTCAGAGGTCCAGCTTCTGGTCCCATAGACCTGCTTGCCTTCCCAACTAAGAATCACGCATGAGAAGAGCTTCCAAGTAAGGAAGCCACTCAGAGTTGCTAGCCAGAGGCATCATAAAACCACCAGTATCAGGAAAGGAGGGAGCATACTGCTCCAGGTCAGGAATGGGTAAAGGGAAGACACGTGGTGGTGAACCTATCAGATAAAAATAAAGGAATCCCTATGATCAGAGGCTTAAGGCTCTTGTGCCATGAAAGTTTGCCTAATTTATGAGACAGCTACAAGGACAGATGAGGCTTGCTGAAGCTCGGGGAGGTGGCTTCCAGTGACCTGACACAGATTAGGCTCAGAAGAGCACAGGAACAAGACATGACTCGCAGCATCCTGCTCTGTCATTTCCTAGCTAGAGGAGGCGGCAGAAAGAGTGGTAGACTGGCCACCAGCAAAGCAAAGATAAATGCAGGAACATACTTGACTCCGTAGGCAAATATGGTGAGGCCAATCAGCACCCCGATGCTGCCATCCAGGTACCAGACCGCAGAGTTATGCTTGAACACTTCCGCACTCAGAAGAATGGAGAAGCCCATCACGCCGCCCACGAGGGAGTTAAAGCCTGTAGAAGAAGCAGAGAGATGCCAGCTGGCAGGGCCAAGCCATCTTTATTAACCACCAAAATGCCTCCATGTTCTGGAGCATGTGCCAGAGAAAGGGATATGGAAGATCTCTTGTCCGTGACCTGAGGCTACAACCTGAGGCACATACATGGCTCATGAACTCTGTCTCATGTCACCAGGGAGGTCCCTACACAGCCATCACCCCTGCCATCAGTCTCCATCTCTTTCTTTCTTTTCCAAGTAGTTATTTCCAAGTGACAGCACGCATATGGTTCGTCGTTGGTGGAACAGGAGCTTGGTTTCCTGCTGAATCCACAGAGCCTGCAGTAGTGCCTGGCACACAGCAGACATTCAAGTCCTTGGTGACGTAAATCTGTTGAATGTCTACTGCGCCACATCCCAAACTGGGTGTTTTAGTTTCATATCAACCTCCTCAATGTTATGAGAGAAGATTATTATCCCCGTTTCACCAATAGGAAAACTAAACTAAACAGAAGGAGGTTAAACTAAATTAACCAAGTGAGCTGGGAGGGGCAGGGCTGGGGTTGACCCTAAGTCATTCCCTCTGTAGTTTCTGCTACCTAAAGATTTTCCCTGTTTCTCCAGAAGAGCAATGCAAAGTTTAGTTGAGCTACACTGCTGAAAAAACAGTAATAAAAGCAGAACTAGAGCAAATGTATACTGATCACCATCTTTCACCTGCTACATCCTCTGGTTCCCATAATTTCACATTCGCCTGTGAGTTTCAAAGGCCACTAGCATTTTGCCTGTGAGTTTCAAAGGCCACACGGGAAGGGAATGGCTTTGGTGGTCTCCCTGCAATGTGAGTCAAATTTCATTCCTTGCTTCAGCATCCTGGGGTCCACCAAGAGGACCTCCAGGTCCACAGGGCAAGTCACCTCGCGATGCCTCATTCTGGGGTCAACTCCCTCTTGTAATAGAGCCATGTTCTGGCTGAATTCAAAAGTCTATTCTGGTTAAAAGCGAGAAAATTGAAATCAAACACACTAAAAGACATGATTCAGTCTGTACTCCTGAGAGTACATCTGAATGAAGAGTAGGATTAACATAACCAAAGCCAGGGTCAGAACCATGCTCAGCAACTGAAGTAGGGGCCCCTTGAGAGCTTCTCCCCACTACTGAGCACACAATGAACCTGAGGTCTGCAAGGGCATCTCACGGACAGGCATGTGTCACTTGATTATGGACTTCCTCTTGCATCCCCTACCCTCCAGTGCTCAGCCAATGACTAGCGAGGCTTTGCTCT